GTTCACAACCACTCCTTCCCTCCATCTACTTGGCGTATACTCGTTTTTCCACACCCAATTGTACAGCAGTACCATCAGCTGGATCATCCCCTTCCCCCCAAACTTCATGAACTCGTTGACTATCCCATCCGCTCCTGCTGCTTTGTGGCACTTCAGCTTGTTCACACACGCCTCACCCAACAAACACCGANGGGGGGGGGGGGGGGGGGGGGGGGGGGGGGGGGGGGGGGGGGGGGGGGGGGGGGGGGGGGGGGGGGGGGGGGGGGGGGGGGGGGGCGAGAATTGACTTCTCTAGGGAACCCCGGAACCGAGACATGTTCAACAAAAACGAGGAAGACAAGAAAAATGCGAACGTCCAGTGGTCACTGTCGTGCATGGGCGTGCAACAACCAAAACCCCCCCCCCAAAAAAAAATCTTTCTCACAAAAAAAAAAAAAAGTGTAGTAGAATACTTGGGAAACAAACCTCACATTCCTACCGTGAATTTGTGCAGCGAAAGAAGGTGGACGCCGGGAGGCCGAGAGGCGACAGAAAAGCAAAAACGAAACGTAACCGTAACTGTTCTGTTTTTTTACCTCGCGAGCAGCTGGAACTCCGGAAGCGACAGCACCCGCTGGTACAGCTCGCGCTGGACCTCGCTAAGGTCGCAAAATACGACGGTGTCCGACTTGCCCTTGAGCACGTCCCCAAGCTCCTCGTCCTACGTGCGGCACCCAAGAAGACCGCGGGGGGGTGGGGTACTCATGTTTTGATGCCTTAGTGTTTAGGCCATTGACCAACGGAGGGGGGATGAAGGAGGAGGGGGAGCGTGAGAAGAGACTTCACGCGATGGGTGGTACGCCGTCCACATCGATGCACTCACACAAAACAAAAGGTAGGTGAGGTTAGGGCAGGTGACGGGAGCTGCTGCCGGCGAGAGACCAAGTCGCAGCGCCGGCCATCGCAGAGCCGCTGCTACGTGAAACACCAGCTACACAACCATAGGTAGCGAACGACGAACTAGACGCTGAGGGGGGGGGGAAAAGGTGCCAA